AGGGAAGAGTTATGATAAGAACAAACTCTTTCCAACCAATCAAATCGAAGTGTGACAAGGCCGCATTTGATTGGCAAGAACATGTCACTTGCACACGTGGCGCGATTTCATTAGCCCTTTAATGTGACTTGGCATGCCTTGTCATTTTGACACATAGCATGATCCCATTAGCTCTTCTGTTTGACTTGACGTGCTATGTCATTTGACACGTGGAACCAAACTGAGCCTCTAGAAAGATGATATCTTGGGCTTAATATAGTGGGCTCATCACATTAGCCCAATTAAATGGGCTAGCCCAATGAATATGGACTTATTTATTCAATCCATATATATTGGACTTACATAATTAATCCAATTATATTAGCCTATAATATTTATTTGGACCGAAACATATTTAATTTTAGATTAAATCCAAATTTGTTATGAATTTAAATCTAATAAAATTTTCATTGCCTACAATATATTTACAGGTGCATTTTCGTATCTTATTTTTATGGTGTTCTTGATGATGCATTGGTATTGAATTATTAGAAATCAACTTTCAGTAACATCGCTGCTAGTTGAGTTTTTAGCTCATGGTCTTCAATTCAGTGGTAAGAACATTGTTTATGTTGTATAATTAGGTATACGTCATAATTTCGAACTTAGACAATGATAAAAAACATTGATATTTATATAGAAAAGGAAAGATGAGAAAAAAAAATTTAAAACTCTTTTTTAACCATCCCTACCTCACCTTCCAATTCACACCCTCACCCCTGCCCCCTACACCTCTAACCTCACCCAACAAACCCCCGCGCAACTCATTATGGCACCTTCCTACCCACCCTCTAATCTCCACCCCTGGCTACCACCTACCACCTACTCCTCTCCCGGCCCTATTCCTTTACCCCCATACTACCCATTCTCCTCACCCCAAGCCTACTAACTCCCGCCACCCCTCTTCTACTCGCCCTTGGACCTTAGGACGCAAAACAAGAACCAAACGTTAAGGGGTCAGGGTCTAAGGTTTAGGGTTGGGGTCGTGCAGTCAAGGTCAGGTTCATGATCTAAGGTTGAGGTAGGGGGTTAGGGTCAAAGTTACGGTTAGGATTTGGGGTCAGGGCTGGGAGTCAAGGTCAAGGTCTAGGGACGAAAATAGAGATCAAGGTCCGTGGTACTGGATCACAAATAGGGATGTGGATTGGTGTCTAGGCTAGCGCCAGGGTCGTGATACAAGACAGGGTTTAAGGTCAGGGTTCGTAGCTAGGTCTAAGATCAGGTAGGGGTCGAGATTAAGGTTGGGGATCGTGGTCGAGGTTGGGGTTTAGGCTTCGAGGTCACCATTAGGGACTGGGGTCGGGATCTAGTATGGGGTCAGGGTCGGGGTTCGAGGTTAGGGTTTAGGATTCGAGGTCACCATTAGGGACTAGGGTCGGGTCTAGGTTTGGGTCAGGGTTAGGGTTCGAATTTGGGTTCGGGGTCGGTGTCGAGGTTCGCAATCCAATGCGAAATTGGAATTTGAGGTCAAGGGTTACCAACCATGATTTCTGATCTCTATGCCGACTATTAACCTCAAAAGTTGACCCCAACCCCGAGTATGTAACCCAATCCCCGACCCTAATCCCTATCCCCGTACTCTAATCCCTCCTCGAACCCTGACCCGTCGACCCTAACCCTAACCCTAACCCATCCTCGAACTCAACTGCAAACACCGACCCCAACCCTAGACTCGATCTCGAACCTCGACCTTCATCTTGACTTCGACCCCCATCATCCCGACCCCAAACCCTAATCTCAACCCTAAGCCTAATCCCTAACCCCCAACCCTATCATCTCGACCCCAAACCCTAACCTCGACCATAAAATCTGACCCTAATCCCTAACCCCACCCCCATTATCCCAACCCCAAACCCCGAACTTGATCCCTCGACCCCCATCATCCCGACCCCAAACTCGATCTTGACCCCCTGATCTCCGACCTCGGCTCCGAACCTGGACGCCCCACACCCCTCCTGCCCCTGCTCCTACCACCATCCTCACCCATTTCGTCTCTCATAATGTTTGCCTTGATTATTTATTTTCTAAAAAATATTTTTTGCTGACTAATACATCAGAAAATAATTAAGAATGACCACTTATTTTTCAAGAAATTTTTTTTCAGAAAAACAGTTTCGTGGAAAATATTTTCAAGGAAAAAGTTTCCGCGGAAAATATTCTTCATTCCGAACACACCCTTAATAATTCTCATGAAGTGGAGATAAGAATTTCTATTTGTGAAAGAGCTTATATAGAGAATTTATAAATAAAGCAGAAGATGGAATATGCTTATAATGTATAAAGATGTAGCAATACACTCTTCCAAAAGAGAGGCATATGTGATTCTAATGTTGGAGTTCTATTTCTTCAAGTAAATGTTTATGTTAGGTTCAGTTACTCCAATTTATTGTGAAGTGCGAACAAATTACGTTGATGCAGAATTCATGAGGTAAATGTTGAAGTTTGGCAAAATGCCAAAGTCCCACATTGGTTGGGAGTTAAGTTTGGAGGGGATTTTTCCCCTATAAAAGAAGGCCTAATGTTTAGGATTGAAACACACCTCTCATTTGCCTTCTCATCTGTTTAAGGCATTTGTATCTTCTCTCTTTAGTATTATTTCACTTGTATTTTTGGAGTGGAATAAAATATTGGTTGTGTCCGAGGAGTAGGCAAAATTAGCCGAACCTCGTAAATTCTAGTGTTTCCTTTATTGTTGTTTTATTGTCTTATTTATTATTTGGTGGCTGTCATAATTTTTGGTATAGTAGTTGTGACTTATTCACACTATATACATTTGGCTTCCGCAACAGTAAAAGGGTCATTGCATTGAAGAATTCGAACACATCGTCTGATCTAAGATTCTTAATAGAGGCAGAGAATTGGTTTTTGAATAAGGAGAAAAAATTTCAGTCGTTGAATTTCGTTAGGAAAAAACATGTCAAGAAAGAAGTCATCGACCAATATAAGGAAGTTTCTTCTACTTGTATGAACAAGTTTGATATGGTCCCCAAACATCCATATCAACAAGAAGAAAAGGGGAATTAATTAGATGCAGATTCACTTAGTGAAAAAAGGAATCTTAGTCTGCTAGCTAATAAACAGAGTAACACACTCATACTGTTAAACGTTTCTTAGTAGTTGTTTTCGAAATTTTGAATGAAGAATCATGTAATTTCATTCATTTTCCCATTAATAATAATGTTTTTGGTGTTGACTACATGTTTGAGCTATTCTTTGCATTCAAACATGAGCATATGCTTTCGCATACCATGTCAATGAGGATATACTATAGAAGTTTTTTCAGTTTCATACACAACAATAATATACATAGAAATATTTCTATAAACAAACATACTAGTTGTAGTATATATCAGTAATTTTATGGCAAATCATAAGCTTTAGAAGCATCTGCCAATAAAGTCTATTACTTCTGGACCAGTATCAAAGTCATTGATACACTGGCTATTCAAATCAAATGTCTCGACGAATTGCTCATTAGTTCTCTGAGTGTCACGTATTTTCCCAGATGGTTCTTCAATCCAATTCTCATTGCAAATATTGGTTCTGCTCTTCTTGCTTATTTTTGCTTCAGCGTTCGAGCCACTCCCATCCCCTGGATTCAATGACAGAATACTGGAATTTCTCTTCATTAATGTGCCTACCTCTTTTGTGATTGAATCATCAATTTTAGTTAATGTTGATAATGAAGAACTTGGAGAATTTCTTCTGTCTCTATCTTTTGAGATTGAGCCATCGATTTTAGTTACTGCTGACATTGAAGAACTTGGACAACATTTGTTAACCATCGAAACGAATTGAGAGAGTTCAGCTTTGGCAAGTTCATCAGAAGAAGCATATCTTGCAACTGTTTCCTGTGCTTTCATCAAAACTAATTGCAAATACTTTCCTTGAGCTTCAATTCTCAGTTGTAAATGTCTTTGTACCTGAAAATTATGGATCAGCTTGTTAATTTTACGCTATCCGGTCCGCAAAAATGCTATTTACATGTAACTTCTATAGCAACCAGGGATGGAGCTGGGTAGGCGGAAAGGGGTTCAACCTAAAATGCCATTGCGTATATAAGGTTTTTTTTTTTGTATATTTATTATATTGAATCCCTTTAGTTTCTTCGCGTGTTAGATTTTTTTATTTTTTGAATCTCCCCGGTAAAAATCATGCTTCTGCCACTAATAACAACCTCATGATTGGTATATTGTAGACATGGTAAATGACCTACTATTACTTACAGCTGGTAAAACTATAGTGTAAAATTTTATAATACGGTTAATTTATAATAAGTTAAACTCAATATATTTACCTCAATTTGTTCATGAAGTTTCCTCTGCACCTCCATTTGCACTTTTAAAGCGCGAGCTATTTGCAAGCTTATGACAAAGCATAAATATCAGTAATTATTAGTGAAATGCTGTTATTGCTTTAGTTTATATACAAGTATATTAAATACAGTGGAAAACTATATTACTCATTCATCTGAATTTGTGCTGCATCACGAATATCCCTACTCTGCTTTTGTCTAAGCGCTGCACCAAAGTAATTCCTTGAATTTTCATCTTCTTTTGGTCTGTTATGTGCTATTGCAGACTCCAAGTTGTTCTCTTGTCTGTTTTTGTGGTCGGATTGGGCTAGTTGACTTTTCGCCAGTCGATATTTCTATATAGAAAATTAAATTTATCAATCAGTTCAAGTGAAATGTGCAAAAGATTTTATGATCAACTCAAAAGTGACAAGGAAATAAATAGGATAAAATATAAAATTGGCTGCTCGAAACTAATTGCATTTACTATTCAACAAGTATATAAAATATGTATATTATATGTATATAATACATATATATACAAAAAGTATATATATACTGTTGGCTATTATTTTTTGGAGCACCTAAAAATTACGCTTCTCAAAAAAAAAAAAAACCTGCAAATGGCTCTTGAGGTGATACAAAGTAAGCCCGTGAATGTTCATTACACTCTTCAAAGATTTTGGTGTGGCCTCTGTATAATCATCAATAATTAATACTATTATATATGATTTTGATTGCAAGAAGGAAAGAAAGTAGACTTGTAATTATACTCACTGTCTGCACCTCCAAGCTGAGTGACTGAATCGACGAATCGTTGGTGGAGTAATGGTGTCCATTTCAGCCTAGGTTTGGCATCTCTTGACAAAACCAACCTCATATCTTCACTTTCTACATTTTGAAGACCCATGATTTTGGTAGTAACAACTTAGTGAAAGTACAGTAGGTAGTGGCTAGAAACATGTAAAGAAGAGCTTTATTTTATTCTTTTGCAGTTACTTGTGCATCAAGCTGTGGCTGCTCCACTTAGTTTTTATAGAGTTTTAACTTATCTCACAAAAGGACTTTTACATCACTTAAAAAGATAATTATAGGTATTTGTCCAATAATAATAGAATTAGTAACCTAAAAAAGGATTTAACTTGTATACTCTGGCAGTGTAAATTTTTTTTACACCATCAAATATATTTTAATATGTCATAATAGTAATTTACTCTATTTTTCAACTTTTACCGTATCAAGTTATTTACTCTATTTTTCCGGTTACCTTATCAAGACTTGCTATGAGCAATTACATGTTATTATAGGTAACTTAGCCTGATGTTGTAAAATAATTCCATGCACCAGTTAAATCGGTTTTTATATTAGTAGAGTTTTTATGCTTTCCCATGCAGTTGTCACTCCATATAGGGAAACAGAGGCCGGGTGTTGTTCGAGAGGAATATATGCCCAATGATGAGTTGTTGCCCTTCTTTTCTTCATTTCCCATTTCATATCAAACTTTATTTATTTCCTGTTTCCAAGTTATTTCTTTCTCTTTTTCTTCTTTGATTTTTAAGGGTGTTAGAGAATATTTCATACTGCAAAAGCAAAGAAAGCAACATATACTTCAATTGATTCTCGGAAAGGGGAGAAAAGGGGAAAAGTGTATGGTTTGTTCTTTATCCTCCTGTTTTTCCTTCTTTCTCCCTCTACCTATGATTAACTAAGGGAACTAATTTTCTAAAATGTGGAGATAATTTGATGGAAGAAAAAAGAAAAAAAAAAGGGATAACTACATAAGTCCTGTTTTTTTCTTTAAAACTATTCTTCACTTCCTTGGTGTTTGTTTTTTTTTTCTCTCGGGGGGGGGATTAACCCCGGGCCACTAAAGTGTCTGCGTTAGGCCTCACAAAAGTAAAGGCCCCAAAAACTACTCTTCTTATATGTAATTTAAATATTTATTGTATTTACTATGTGGTCTTTTTTTTGTACTTGGTTTAAAAAAATTTTATGAAAGTGAAAGGCAATTAAATTTACACGTACTTTCTAATTCTTCTCGCTCCAACTTGAACAAATTTTATTTACAACTCTAACTTTGTGATATTTTCCTTCAAGGTCTCTGTTGGTAAGCTTCAAGCTAATCAGATCGTAAAAAGATATAATTGATTTGTTTGTCATCTTTGTAAATACAAATTCCCACATGATTGTTACTTTGGGAGGCAGTGATATATAGTGAGTTATGTTGACAGTCATGTGGAAAAAAAAATCAAAATTAAACCTAATAAAATCTTATCAATAGTTAGTAATGTTTCAACAAAGATTAATGGGTTGGTTACAATTTCAATATTAAATTGAATCTCAAAAAGTATAAAGAATAAACTGTAAACAAAAATATCTAAAATTATTAAATAAATTTAAGTCCTCTTATTACGGCTTGTCTTTAGGCCTCCAACACCATTGAGCCGCCTTTGTTTTCTCTCATGAGATTATATTCAATAGAAGAGTTCTCTCTGTCACATAAAATCCTCGAATCAATTGACTATTATAATTAAGAGGGCGAAAGAGCTTATGCGTAGAAACCTTTTTGAGGTCGCTCTCTTCCTTGTTTTTATTTGAGTGAGTCTGTTGACTACCTCATAGTCGCGTGCGATGGGGAATGGGTTCCTCGTCTGGTGCTCTTGATTAATTCCCTCCCGCGAGAGAACCAGATATGCACGTTCATGAACCCGTGGTTGCGACCATTCCACACGAGGTCCTGTTTCCAGAATTAGACCACTTCTCCTTCCTGATATCCAAAGAAGGATAGAGAAAGCGGTTGCCGAAGTACTTTACACAAAACATAAGAGTGGAAAGAACCACTATTATTCCAAATTATACGACCCTCCACTCTAACCTCTGTGTCTTTCCTACAGGGGTGGATCTATGTAGTGGAGACGGGTGGTACACCACCCGGTCGCTCGGATAAAATTTCATGTGTATCACTAGTAATTTACGTGTATATAATGAAAGAGTGGCACCCTATGTCACAATGGGGCTTTAGGTGTCATGGTCTAACTGATTTTTGCTACGTCCAAGGCCCAAGATCGAGCCCCCACTTCACTCATAATGCAAAGCCAATTTTACTTTTGTGTTTTCTCTCTTTCCAGTTTGTTTTTCTTAATTTCTTTTATTTCCATCTTTGTATTTTCTCTCTCTGTTCAATCTTATTTTATTAGTTATTTATATTACAAAATTATATTTGCTTATGTTTTCTTGTTCTAGATCTCAATTTTTTTTTATTTGTTTATGTTTTTAATCATTTTTCTTTTTTTATTTATTTAATATTTTTTCCTTGAAAACACCAAACATTTTCAGTTTGGGTATCATGTATTTATTTATGTACTGACAAATCTTGTAAAGCAAACCGAATTAATTCAAAATAGATCGAACCAAACAGAATCGAACCGAATTAATTCAAAATAGAGCGAACCGACCAAATGTACCTCCGAATTTCCTTGACAACTGAAAAATTGATATTAAATATAATGACATCCGTAACCATCAAATCCTAAATTCGCCTCTGCTTTCCTATGATCTATTTTTGAATTTCAAATTTTCTCTTACGATCGAAGAGCATACTATCATATGCTTGAAATCTGATATTCTAGATTTATGCAGAAATGAAGACCAGAACCATCTGACCAGTCCTCACCCCGTACCCCTTTCCCATGCAAAAATAAATGAAAATGGGGAAAGGTAAATAAAACAGAATAGTCCGATCCGTTATTCTAATTTTAAAGTGTAATTATTTAACAGGTTCCTGCCTTGCGAGTAAAGAATTTGTTCACAGTTCTCAAATGCATGGTTAATTAATATATACACTTTCCCTGCACAAGACTGATATGAGAATGATTAAAGTACACACAAGAATGGATTCTGTAATTAGCCGAGATTTCTTAAAGATCAGATTCAATTTCTTATACACTTTGTTAAAGGGAAATTTTTTTAATGTAGCTTGGCTTAATAATTCTATGATCACTCATTACATGTTAGCTGAATATCCTAGAAAGGTATGTAATATGTAACTTACATAATGTAAGGAAAAAAAGATTAAGATAACTTGAGAATTCTATCACTGATCATAATTAGTGGTGGATCAAAATTAAATGCACTTGGTTCTGGGCTTTAGCTCGAACTATATATATATAAGAGCAAAATTTAATGATTCTAAATTATGAGTCCATTCCGTCACATTATTGTATGCTAAGACAGGTAGATCCTACTGATATGATTGGAAAATGTTATGACAAAATTCTAGTAACACTCCCCTCCTCCCACAACAATAATGAGCTGGGTGGGAGAAATGAACTAAATTAGAAAATTCCCTATATAATATTTAAAGAATTAACTCAAATAGCCGTTCACACTATCACTTAAAATAAAATTAGCCAGCTATATATAATTCATATTTAATATATTTATAATTGTTTAATCTACGTATACAAATTACGGAAGGTAACTAATGAATCCAGCCAAATATTTGTATAAATAAAGGGATCGTGGAGATAGACTTTTTCAAAAGCTCTATCCACCTTAATTCTCTTTATCTGAATAATGAATACAGCAGTTTTATGCATAAAGAAAAGAAAGAAGAAAAAGGAAAAGAAGGCCAACAGGGCAAAAAAAACAAATCCTAACTTAGATTGGATAAATGTTGGTATTTCTTGGGCTGCAGTCAACACTCAAGAGTTCGATCAGCTGGAATCAAAATCAAATGATTGATCCCAAAGCTTTGCAATCTCAGTGCACTCACCTCGTTTCAATTTGTTTGAAGCTTTTGAGAGTATAAACGTCAAAGTGAATAATATTTGGTGTAAATTCCGACCTAGATTCTTTAAGTTTTCTGAAATATAATTTATATATTTAATAACTACATAAAATAATACTATAAATTACAGTAGTTAATAATTTAAAAAATTTTAAAAATATTTGCAAACAATATGAGTAAAAAAATCGTGTTTGACTTCCTAACTAGTAATAGGTTTATTTTATTAAACGGATAAAGTATAGTAATTTGAAAAATAAAGTAAGTTAGGTTCCAAAATAGGTTTGAAATGCTAATAGCTAGTATTGAATTTCTTTACAATGTCAGCATATATGAATTAAGTATCCTTAAAATAATAGAGTATATAATACCAAGCTTTGAGCTTTTCAAGGCTAAGTAATAATGAGAAGCTACACTACATATATTAAACTTGTGGACGAGTTTCATTGCGGTGTGAGAAAAGTTATATCTTGTGTGTGCTTCAAGTTAGAAGGAAAAAGAGAAAAGAGATGGAAATAAGGTCTGATTCATGAGCTTCATAATGTTTGTGGCACAAATGTCTGAAAACCGATAAAAGAGAAGGAATAATTAACATATTTTTTTCCATTCAACACACTTGATGTACTACTTTCCTGCTTTAATATATTCTATAACAGGTAAAGGAGATTCTAGGATGATGCATGAAGCAAAAAAAAAAAAAAGACTCCTCGGGATCATCAAAAAGTCACATGATATTAATCAAAGTTTTCTTCTGGTTGATCATCAATTATTCAAAAGCAATGAAAGAAAAGGAAAGGATATATTAGAAGACTATATGGCCTCAGGAATCTAGAAAAGTGAAAACAAAAGGAACTATTAGTCACAATCCCAAGAAAGAGTTCATGTTGATATAGAATAATACCAGCTAACATTTTTACTCCTTGAAGCATAATGACATCAGCAATATGTCATTCTTTGCTATATTGTATACGGGTGAAATCGGGAGGCCTGATCCTCCCGATTTCACGATCACTGTATCTCTCCCTTAGCTTCAAAAAGGCCTCAAAAATCCGGGGGCGCAGTTCGAAGTTTCGGCCTCTAGGGTTCTTCACACTCGACCTCGATGCAGCATGAGTCGATGCTTATCGAGAGTAAGTGGAAATTCCCTAGTCATGTGGTCCGAACTGACATCACCTGC